AGAATATAATGGTGTCAATAACTCATTTTGGGGTTTTTGAGCCCGAAGCACCTTTTTGCTAGGATGGAACCCATATTAGAAACGCAATTTGACCAAATCCATAATGCAAATACCTCTGCTCGAAGAAGAGAAGAAAGCCGACGTAGTCGTACACCACCACCTTCATATGAAGAAGTTTCGTCAATGCTAGATCATCATGAAGTTTCTGCTAGACATAGGGGGCGTTCAACGTCAGGTGCATTGGCAATTTGTTATTGATTTGGATACTCGTAAACAATGAAAATGTATTAGTGACATGAAGGCAACATGTCATGCTTTTGCTATTATATCTATATGTTTGGCGCTAAGATGATATTTTCACACAATTTGGAATATTTGCTGGTGCATTCTTGATTTCCTCGATAGCTTCAGGTGTTAGGATTGGCACTAGTGTTGGTCTCCAAAACTATTTTGAAGAGATGAAAGTCAAAACTAAAATTAAAAGTTATATATCAAAATTAAATCAAAGTCAATAGTCAAAAATCAAAACTAGTTTCGACTTATGATGAAACCTTTTGACTTTCGCACGGTTAGCGAAACTCTCTAGTTTTGGAAACCAACAATAATTGGCACATAAATTTTACGAACACGATTATGATCGACTATTCATAATATTATAAAAGACATCGATAAAATTTTTATTAAAAAACAATTAGATATAAAAAAACGCTATTAATATTCTGATACAATAAGATTTACATCAAATTTTGGTTTATATAGTGAACACATTAATTGGCGCCGTCTACTACATAATGTCGTGCGAACAGATCATTCTGTATCCATAATAACTTGGTGAATGCAATAGTTGTTTTTGTTGCAACATCATTCTCCAATCCTGCCTTGCTGATTGCGTCGATAAGGATAGTATTAACATACGAAAACAGCACATTGCAATGGATATATTCTACGTTTATATGTGACGCTTTTCCCGGGAATGATGTATGGATTTTCCCAACATAATTGAGATAATTAACAAATCTCTCATCATATTCTGCAGTGACCAATTTCACAAGATATTTCTTAAGAAAGTCCTTTCTGAACTTAATCTGTTCGCTATTAGTCTGCAATGACTCTAACGTGTTGTCGACTTTCCCGGTGAATCCATCATTGCGCGCAAGAAACACCTGCTTGGTGATATCGAAGGAGAATAACTTTTCGTAGACGAGTTCAACAACCTTATCTACAAGCGGAGCGATAATGGGAGCCGAATTCTTGATTGCCTTAATATCTTCCTCGCCGAATTCGACAAATTGAGCAACGTAGTTGAATCGGTATTGAAGATCCGTGTATAGTCTTTCACGGTCGATGTGGGTAATTCCTGATGTCATTTTGGTATAGTAATAAAAGCAGTTGGTTTAATAGAGAGAATTACTGTAATAGTAAAGTGACAGTAGTTTTGCGTGTGCGGAACAGCGTAATTCTTATCATTATATAATTCCGAATGTTTTGGTATGACAGTTTGAAATGATCCGTGATTCGGCGGTTTTTAGTGACCTCATAATTTAGGCGTTATTTTTTTTTTAACGTACGAGTCTTGCATTATGTAGTACATAGTCAAACTAGAAAAAAATGTACTTTCCATAATTCAGAGTGATATTTGTCCGTCATCCTCGTGGGAGATCTAATGATAGTAGAAGACATAGTAATGTTAATCAAGATATTGGCAGAGCCAGCACAGCTGAAACGAATACGCAGAATTCGGAGCCTCGTGCTTCCACTGAAAATAATCCAGATAATGATAATGGTACAAATAATGAAATTAACGCTACAGGGAATAGTGATAGTATGAGTATTGGAAATTAATACTCCAAGAAATAATGTTAGCAGTGATTTAGAAATTAATAAAAAAATTTTACATTCCTTCTTGATTAAACGCAATTACCAGTATATACACCCATCCTTTTAATTGTATTCACATTGCCATAAACGAAGAACTGTTATTTATGTTGTATATATTTCAGCGTGAGAAGGAATTAAATTTTGATAATCCCTGCATAATCGATCGATCAGATAATCATTAATGTGGCTGTGCAACGAAAATTATTTGAATTCATTCGAATTACTGAAAATGACGTTATTATTATACTGAAAAATCAATTGCGTAATACATATCACATACCAGAACTTCTGCAATCGTACGACCTGCTGACTAATTCTGATTAACCAACTCGTGCCACATGCATTTTCTTTGTGAAAAGTTTTTTCGCTGTGTACATAGTAAGGCTTGCATCGCTCCACCACATTCCCTGATCTACTGTTCCCATACCTAAACGAGGCAGAAATGGGTGGGTGGAAACGTTTTAAAAGGACAGTATATCTACGTTATGGTTATTTGTTGCTTTATTTGTGATAAAAACTAATATCTACAATTCCAAAAAAATGTCTGAAAATTACTTTTACCTCAATCGCAATCAACCAAACCGTGTATTATATTTCAAAGAATGGCTCCCCAGTATTTATCTACCAAGTGTTAAAATTTTGAGAAGAAATAACGTTAATGTTGCAGAAACCCAATATCGCCAAGAGATTCGAGACGCTATAACCACTTGTGGCGAGGTCCATTCAAATAGCAAACAAAAGCTAGAAACAATCTTAACACAGTTTAACTCCATGTCCAAGTTATGTAGTATAAAAATTATTGGATCTCTTTCAAAAATGATGATATATTTTTGCAGAAAAGTGGTGGATATAACAACATAGGCCTATGTTGCTGTCTGTATCTGGGTGTACGTGATATTGTTTTAGCGTATGTCTTAGCTTGCAGAGTGCTGGCACTGTAAGCATCAAAGGGTGCAATTCAGGAGATTCGTCGTTCCGGTGTGATTCCTCACATTAGGTTCGGTACGAGCTATGCCTTGTGTACCTCGTCGCTGGCCGTGGGCATGGATCTTATAATTATTATGAAAAATGAATGACCTCACAATAACTGATTTTATGAGACATATTATATAAATATCTTATCTCAAAAACGCTGGATTAAATTATATTTCTTTCTGATTCTAGGAGCAACGTCGGACATTTTATAAGGAAGTTTGGACCAAAGAAAAGGAGAAGGTGAGCATATTTATACTTGTGTTTTATACTGAACGATCTAAACACATTTTTTCTCGTAATTTTTTACTATACAGCGTCAAACTCTAGAACAAGAACGTAATGTCAATATAATTCAAGAAAATATCGAATTTATATTAGGCAGATGTGTAAGTAAAAACCGGACTTCTGATTTATTTGTGATATTTGATGCTGATATGATAATTATTATCTTCAGAGAGCTAAGATAGAAAATGGTTGCTCAGATACTATCATGCTTGCATATACCGAAGTTATCCGCCATTTGGAACGGTTGGATTTGGCATCGATTAGACCAGAAGCTCCTCTAGCATCCGGTGTTATTGATCTTTCGGGTAGTGAGGATCCATTTACAAATTTATTATCATCGAGGACAAAGCAGATTTTGATGCATCATACATTCCATAACGATGATTTCCCGGGAGAAATAAATATGATGATGGATGATTTCGTAAGCACATATAGAGATTTGGGACCCGATTTCGATCCAGTATTCATGGGACCAATCGCTTTCCCACATGGGGAGATGACCGTTGAAACCAGACGTATACTGATGACGGTTTTTGACTTATTAGAAGGATTGTAAGTTATTAGTGTGTAATTCTATTCATGCTTGCTTTATTAAGAGTATTTATTTTCCAAGCGTCACATCTGGGGTTGCAGACCGTTGTTGACAGAAGATGAATATAGCGAGAATGCTTATGTGATCCATGCAGTATCGAAGGTTCTGGACCCAATCCTCAAATATTCAAAATGGCCACTCAAGCGTGCATGGTACTGTATCTATATAACTATATATGACGTATTATCTATTCTAATTATATATATTTCAACATATATAGGTCTGAGCAGACGAGTAAATCATCACAATCTAGGATGGAACGGATGGAAGCTACGAATTCGGGGAAGAAGCCGGATCTGCAGGTTTTGCTAAAGCTTGATATGGTAGAAAGTGAACTCGTACTTGCTGAAGTTTCACGATTACTCCCTCAACAAAGTAAAGAAACTATAGACTGGAAGAAATTGGTACGTATTTGCAAAGATTGTTTTGATGAGCGATATAATTTTTTCTTTGATGGGAGAGACGATACCACCGACACGGCTAGATCGTTAAATATCGAGCTAGGGAAAGTTCCCGTTTTAGGTATCCAAGTAATACGACTGTTTCCGCGTTAGATTTATTTGAAGATGATTTTTATCGAATTTTCAGATCTGTGAGTTGGTTATACCATTACGTATTTTCTCTCGCCAGATCGTTGAAGAATTTTTAAAGAATGCTCTTAAATTGAGATCCGTGGTTGAAAAAATTATCGCAATGGCGGTGGGTGTGAAAGATGAAATTAATCTTTTGCCAGTAATCGAAGATCGGGCACCATCATCATCAATGATGTCGACCACATATTCTCCACCAAGAAGTTATTAGGTGATTCGGATAAATTTACTAGAGTATCATATTTCTATCCCGTATTTTATCGTATGATTTATTTCGTATCAATAAAAGTAGCTCTGGTGGCTGAAATATTATATACTTTGTGCGATATATGTGATTAGGCATTCACCCCAGCCCCTGGCTAAATTTTTCAGATAATCGTTACGCATTATCTATCGGGTACATTATCGACTGTCAAGTCCGTCACATGTTGGAAAATTAAATCATATGCATGCACGATGTTTGTAGTACACCCGAAATAGATTTACCCCCGAAATAGATCATGTAACGATTATCCCAGATATTAATATAGAATGATTCATTATCAATATTAATATGTATATTTATTATGTTATAACGTTGTATGTGATCGAGAATTTTCTCGCAAAAACAAAAATAATTGTTATCACCAATTAAAATACGCTCACCCAAATTTAATCGGTGACAATACGTATTTAAACATTAACGTGCTTTTTGTACAGTCATACGACGTAAACCGGCTTTTGTAAATATGAATATGTGACACGATCAAAATAATTTTCAGAATCGCAGAAAAGAAATTACAACCCGCACAATCTAGGGAAAAAATTTATCACCATGTTATTTTATTAATCATTAATAAGCAGAAAAGAACAAAATCAATGGTTTTTTAATTGCCAACAACAATCAATGAACATGATTAAAATTTATAAACGAATTATTATTATTATTTTCAAAAAGGAGATGATGATCATTTTGACGAATTGTGTCAACACAAAAAAAAATTTCATTCCTCCCCAAAAATTCGGTTTACCAAAAGTTCAGGAACAAACCTTTGCAATATGCAATTTGCAATCTGCAGTTTGCAAAATTCAAAAATTGCAATCTGTAAATAATAAAAATAGCAAATTGTAATTTGCATATTGTTGCATAGTTTATAAAACGGACTGTAGAAGATTTCTTTTTTTGAAAACTGTAGGTTAGCGCGTTTGACAAAAATAAATAAGATTTCCAAGACTAATAAATAGTTGTCAAGATTTTCGAAATATTTATACCAGACAAAAAATGTTCTATATATTCCAAAATTAGAATTTTTTTTCACGCCTTTATTAATAATTGTTAATAATTGTTAATTAATAAAATATTTATTTATCTTAAACTTTTTAACAAAAAATAATATGCTTTCATAATGTTTTTCACGTGCTATTTTTTTACATAAATTGACTTACTATTTTTAGACATTCGAAAACACTTGCAAAATCATTCAATCTTGATATAATAAAAAGAATATGGCACATTTTCAACTTGTAATGAATATAAAACTAATTTGGAATGGTGCAAATGTTGTGATTCAAAGTTATTAACAGAAGGATGGATTAGTGGCAATGAAACTATAGATAAAATAATCAAATGTTCACAATTTGAGGCAACAAGTTATGATAATTAATGTTATCTTCAATGGATTCCTTATTATGATATAAAAAATATTGAAAAGATAGGTGAAGGTGGATTTGCAACTATATACAAAGCTAC